GACGACGCTCCCGCGGGAGCCCCGCCTGAGCAGGACGCGGCCGCGGCGGCTGCGAGGCCGCGGGAGGCCGCGGAGGATGGAGGAGCGGAAGGAGGAGGGCGAGGCCGAGATCCAGGAGCACGGGCCCGAGCACTGGTTCTCCAAGTGGGAGCGGCAGTGCCTGGCCGAGGCTGAGCAGGACGAGCAGTTGCCCCCTGAGCTGCAGGAGGAGGCGGCGGCCGCCGCGCAGCCCGAGCACAAGCAGCAGAAGCTGTGGCACCTCTTCCAGAACTCGGCCACCGCTGTGGCCCAGCTCTACAAAGGTGAGGGCCGCCGCCGCCATTTTGCGCCGCCGCCCCCGCCTCGCGCCCGGCCTTCGGCGGAGAGCCCGGGGGGCGGTTGGCTGGGCTCCGGCCGTCGCAACACGGCCCCACCGCCCCCTCCTTGCAAGATGGCGCCGCGGGAGGCGGGCCCTCGGGAGGCGGCCGGAGGCCGGCGCGGGGGGCCGCTGGGCTTGGGGCCGCCCGTGGGGCCCTCCCGCTCCTGGGGCCGGGCCGCCGGGTGCCCCCGGGCCGGGGAGGGCAGGGGAGGAGCCCCCGGTCACAAAATGGCGAAGGGAGGCGGCCCGGGGGCCCTATTGTGCCGGAGCCGGCCTCGGGGCGGGGACTGCGAAGGGGTGCCTCCCTCTGCCGCGCCTCGGCCTCGGCTGCGCCCGGGGGCCCCGCGGCTCCCCCTCCAGCTCCGTCGCGACCCCCTTCTTGCCCGCTCCCCACCTAGCGCGGGATCCCGGAACCCTTGAACAAAATGGCGAAACCCAATATGGCCGTTCCGGAGTGATTGACGCCCAAATAACATTGCTTTTTCTTTTTCTTTTCTTGTCTTTGTGTGTTTCTTTCTCTTTTTTGTTTTTTCCCCTTCCTTTCGTCGTTTTTCAGACCGAGTGTGTCAGCAGCCAGGACTTTCTCTTTGGGTTCCCTTCCAAAATGCAGCCACTGCCGTCACCAACCTCTACAAAGGTAAGGACAACTTTGCTGCATTGCTGGCTAAGGGGAAGGGCGGCCTGCGTCAGGGTTTAAGTCCTGCGTTCCTTAGTGCATTGGCCACCTTGACCTGGAGGTATCTCCCGAGTGTTTTCTGCTTCTGAATCCAGCCACTAACTCTCAGTACCTTGCAACTTGAGAATTCTGGCGGTGTGATGTTATATCTAGATAACGGGTTCTCAGCCGGGGGCGTTTGGTCCCCTCACCCCATGGCGATATGTGACAATGTCTGGGGCACTCCAGAGTGTCATCACTGAGAGGAGGCCGCTAACTGTCCTCGGTGCACGAGGCAGCCTCTCCACCGAATGGCAGTAGTGCCGAGGTTGAGAGGCCCAGAACTCCAGACCGTGAGATGTGCTTCTTAGGCACCCAGGGAAGAGGAGTGTGTCTCGCACAGAGGTGGGAGGGACAACTTGTTTGTGGAAAAGCACCTCTTGGAATAGTTTTTCTTGAGTTAGGCAATTTCGAGCATGATGGTGGCACAGCATAATTTAAGTGCGTCGAAAACTAGCTAATTGGAATAATCTGTACGCACGTTAACATGCAGATAGTTGATGGAGTTGCTCTTCCCTAGCAACTCCATCACATATTTGCCTTCCAAGCTACTTTCTGCCTGACCTTACATTGTTGGCAGGAAATCTGATCAGTTTGAGTTGATAGCAAGATTTTGTTTCATGGCAGTGCTTTTCTGCAGTTAATCCCCGCCCCCCACGTGAAGATATGTGAGTAAATGTTCTTGCCCATCGTGTTCTCTCAGCAACGGTGGGTTTAGATTTGTTTTGAGGATTTGGAAATTTGGGTTTGATTTTTGGCAAGGTTTCTGTGGGAAAAGGATTTGAATTTGAGTGTTAATTTTAGTAAAAATGTAATTTAAATAAATGCTTTTAAACTGCTAGAAGCTGTTGATAATTGCAGTAGAGCTTTGTGTTTTTCAGAATTATCTAAATAAGGTTGAAACAGGCTGTGGAGTGACTTGATTCTCAGATTCTTATCTGCATAAGAATGAGCCAACTAAGATTGCATTCTTTAGGGAAAAAATCCCTTATTTTGGATTTCCTTGGTAGACCTTGTAGTTTTTTGGGATGATAATTTGAGAATGTAAACTGAACCTGGTGAATAGAATGTTAATTTCAGGGAATGAGGAACTAATAATCTAGGCTTACTGAGAAAAGGAAACCTAATGAAATGGTGCCCCAGTGGTCAGCTTTGATTTTTATATAGCTGAGTTCCTTAAATTTTGACTCTAACATTCATTACTGCTTGAGGGTTTTTAACATTCTCTGGAATGGCTCTTGGTTTCACCCAGAGAATTTTGAAATAATACCTGAAACTCATATTTTTGGAAAACTCTGCTTTCTTGGACTATAATTTACATATAGTAAAATCACCGTTTTAAGGTGTATGGTGTGAATTTGACAAACATACATTGTTAGTAAATGGAATATATCTATTCCCCCCACCCCGGGCAACCGCTGATCTGATTTCTGTATATATGGTTTTTGTGTTTCCATAATGTAATAAATAGAACCTTATAGTAGGTAGCCTCTTCTGTTTGGGTTCTTCTATCCACTTTTCATAATGTTTTTGAGATTGATCTATTCAGTTCACATTGCAGGTATTAATAAATAGTTCAGTGCAATTTTATTTTTCTGACTAGTGTTGTGTGTGGAGGTATCACGGTTTATCCATATCAGGTTTTGCAATTATTTTTTGCTTTAGGGGGAAAGCAACACATATTTTTAGTCCGTCTGTGTGCCAGGCTCTTCGACTAGGCCGTAGAAAAATATGAATGTTCTCTGACTTCTCAGTTTTTGGTGCTGTTTTGTGCTCCTGGAATGCATCTCTTTAGGACTGTAGCTGACGGTTTTCTTTAGTGTTAATTCTTCATGTAAAAAAGTGGGCTCAGAAGCTGAACTCTGAAATAATCCCTAATTTGATTTCTTGATTTGAAAATGCTTTTTATAATGTATGTTTTCTTTGTTTAGAAAATGTAATGAAAGACATTAAATTTCTTTTTAAATAAACATGAAGTTCTTGCATTATGGCAAATGCTGGATTGTCAGTCCAACCTTAGTTTTATTTTGTGTCCTATTTCTGTAAAATGAAATATATTCTCTTTTATCTGAGGAATGGTTAATTGTGGTTTGTGGAATTTGGTAGTATAGCAACACTATTCTGTTCCTAGCTGACTCGAGGAAAGTGGATAAGCTCTGCAGATCCTCACATTCTTCCTCCTTTTCAGGGTGTGTTCTTTAGAGAACAAGAATGCAGCTGTAGGAATAATTGGGTACCTTAAATAGAACCAGTAAAATTAGCAAGGTAGTGTCACAGTGCATGCAGCTGTAAGTAGTGGTAAATTTAGAGTGTTCACAGTTCTTATTCAATATCTAAATGTAATTTATGGGGGCAGGGATGGGGGGAGATTTTGGAGGATCCTTGTAAATGGGCAATGCTCTCGCAGTTTGTATGATTAAGCGCTTCTCTGACAAGCTAAAGATGGCTCAGTTTGCCTTACCCAGCCTGGGGAGAGGTTGGTGCCTTTACCAGCTTCCTGATAACACCTAAGACGAGCACATGGGAAGGTCAGCATTGAGGTAAAAGTCTAGCAGAGGGCCCCTTTTGATTGTGGCGTTTTGAAACATTGAGTGATGCAGTTGGTTTGGTTGAATGTGGCTGGAGACTTGGAGGAGAGTGAACTGGGGTGTCCTCAGTGTGCACAGAATTTGGCAAGACGGAGTTCCTTTTGCTCCACATAGTAAGTTGAGTCAGACATTGGCATCCTTTTTTGGAAGGGAAGAAAATTTTATGGTTGGTTTTTGTTTTTACTTTGCTTTGATAAATCTAAAGGAAGTAATGTTTGTTAAATATTCAGTGGTGGTGTGTCCCCTGGCTTAGTACGTTTTTTGATGTCTGCGGCAAGGGGAGTGAAGTTACTGAGGTGGTTTTAACTAGCCTGGTTGATGCTTATCTGATAAATGCTTTGTCAAGCTCATCTCTTTCTGCCTCTTAAATACACCTCCCATTTCCTTGGGTGACTGGTTTCAATCTCTCTCCTGACTCCTCATTAGGAAAATAATGAATTCTAAATTCCTTCTACGCTGTGGGGTTACTTGCTCAGTAGAGGCTAGCCGTCCTTTGGAGCCTTGTGGTCAGCGGAGGTGGGCGCTGGGGCCCTGCTTGCTCTGCAGCAGCTGCCTGGGAGCCAGTGCTCACCCACATCCCCCAGAGCCACTTCTCACTGCTTCTTATTGTCATTTCCCTCAACTTTACATTTTTCTTTTTTGATTTTTGTTTTATGTTAAGCTCCTTTTTTTGTTTGTTTGTTTAATGCTAAGCTCCTCTGCATTTTAAAACTGTCTGAAACTTTAGTTGTATACCGACTTCTCCCACATATGTTAAGAGCTTTCTCTTGATACTGTTTATGTTAAAGATGTTTCTGGTTTTCTCCTTGAATAGGATTTGCCCCAAGGTGTGTGACTCTAGCGGTACTTGGAGAAGGCCAGCAGCATCATTATCATGGAGTCTTCTGCTAGATTGTTCTAGTTCAGATTTTAGACTGTTACTTTTACTTAGTTGTATGGTCCTGGAGACAGATAATGGAACAAAAAATATTGCACTATTGTAAGCCTTCATTTTCTCAATTGTGAGTAGGAGTAAGTACACACAACTTAGAGTGCAGGCTCTTAGTGTGTCATGCAATGAGTCTTCAAGCATGGACTGTGTTGGTGGTCAGGTTCTGTTTTTCAGATGATGTTTTTGGCTATGGGCAGTGCTTAAGATGAAGGGAAGAAATTCTTATTATTTTTTATTTCTGTCAGAATTAATCTTTGTGGTGTGTCTTCATCTTTCCCTGAAAGGGCTGAAAGTAAATAGAATTGATAAGAGAAAAATAGTGTGATGCCCTTTAAAGTCCTTATTTTTGAGACATCTTGATGCCAGATCCTGTTTATAGTGTGTAGTCACTTCATTGTGGCCTTCTTGGGCTTCTCTGTGAACTGAAAGTGAATGGAACGTAGTGAAAATTTGTGGATGAGTGATTGGTGTATAAACAACTGGTCAGAGAAAGCATGTTCTACCTGGAGGCAAATAATGAAATTTCAGCTTATGTTTTGACTTTCTGGAGTTGGTTTGTGACTCTCCTGCTGCAGAAAACTATTGAACGTTGAGAGTGTTCAAAAAACCTTAGTATGGATTGCAGTTGAATACCCTGTTTTATTTTACTAAGTAGCAGTCTCAGTCATTACTAATACCATTTATAGATTTTTTGTGAATTTTTATAGAAGACTGTCAGTTTCTGATGTGTAACTTCTCTGTAAAAGGATGTTTTGGCTGCAAATAGCAGAAAAGACAAGTCAGGCTGGACATGGATTGGCTGCTCTCTGCCTTGAAGCCTGAAGGTGGGATTGATTGAATCCCGTGGCTCAGGCCTCCCTGCTCTGCAGCTCTCTGTAGTCCATGTGTGGGCCTGCGCATACCAGCTTTGTCATTAGGCTAGTTTCAGTGTTGGCAGCTCACTCCTCACATCTTAGGGTCACTCACAGAAGGTTAGAAGAGCCCAGAAGCTTCTTTCCCAGGAGCTACCAGTAAATGACTTCTGTCTCTGGGCCAGAATTGAGTCACATGGTTATTCAGAACCAGTATCATAGCCACAGTTTTGGGGTTATGCAGATTTGTTTGGGACTATACCACAAGTTTCACCACTTCAGCAAATGTGGAAGAAGCTTTTCTTCAGAGCTATCCAAACAAAAACTTGGGAGTACCTTTAGGAAAGGGAGGACGAGGACTGGATGGTAGGGAACTGTGGCCACTCTGATCCTTCCCTGGTTCCTGCTGTTTGTATGTGCTAGGTGAAGATTTAAGTCAGTATGTAAGTTACCTAGAAGCTCGTGTTTATCTTTGGATACCACTTTGTTAGGGAACTTAGAAATTATTTCCTTAAATCAATTGAAAAACGAGCTTCCCTGGTGGTCCAGTGGCTAAGACTCTGCACTCCCAATGCAGGGGGTCCCGGTTCAATCCCTGGTCAGGGAATTAGATCCCACCTGCAGCAACTAAGAGTTAGCATGCTGCAACTAAAGATCCTGCATGCGGCAATGAAGATCCCACGTGCCTCAACTAAGATCTGACACGGCCAAATAAAATATAAATAAATAAGTAAATATTTAAAAAAACAAAACAATTGAAAAGCAGTTTTATTTTGGTCATGACTCATATCTTTTCCTTTTTTAAAAATTTATTATTATTTATTTTTTGGCTGCGTTGGGTCTTTGTTGCTGTGTGCAGGCTTTCTCTGGTTGCAGCGAGCGGGGGCTACTCTTCGTTGCGGTGCGTGGGCTTCTCGCTGTGGTGGCTTCTCGTTGCAGAGCACAGGCTCTAGGCGCGCGGGCTTCAGTAGTTGTGGCATGTGGGCTCAGTAGTTGTGGCGGACGGGCTTAGCTGCTCTGCGACATGTGGGATTTTCCCGGACCAGGGCTCGAACCCGTGTCTCCTGCATTGGCAGGCCTGTTCTTAAGCACTGCGCCACCAGGGAAGTCCCTAGATATTTGTTTCTAATGAAACAGTTAAAATACATATTTTTTCCTACAGCAGACTAGTTGGTTAGTGCAGATTGAGTTCTAAGTTTAAATGTTTTGTAGTTACTAGTATTCCTTGGAAATGTACCCTGATCTAGCAGTGTGATTTTTCTGGTTTGTAGATCCTCTAAGGAGAATGGGAGATGACTTCTCTATTGTTGAGGAAGAAATCCATTGTAGAAGGAACTTCTGCTATTTAGTAACTTTTTAGGGCAAGGCCCTTTGAGCCTCAGTTCCATTTCCTTGTTTATGAAATTGAGATATCTGCTTTGGCTAACTCACATAAGGTTAGTTTCAAAAAAACTATAGATAGTGAAATCTGATTGTGTTTATGTTTCATGTAAGAAAGTTCTGCATTTGATCTTCATTTCAGAAATCAATATGATTCTTTGCCTACTGCCCCTTGCCAACAGTGGGAAAATGAGACTAATAAAAATCCCTTGAATTCAATTTCAGCTATTTGTATAAAAACAATTTAAAAAAAATATGAAACAAAGATGTCTACTGTGAGTTGTATGAATCAGTTTGTTCTTGAATAAGGAAATGAATGTGTTGTGATTAAAGGTTAGATTGACATTTTGATGCCCTTGGGCTTTGCCTAACCTTCGAGATCATGGCCGTTTTCCACAGTGGCTTTGGCATCAGTAAAAGTGTTGGACACAAGACTGTCCCCACAGTTTTCTTTGCTCTGCATTTCTAGAATTTAGGTGTCTAATTGGAAGGTTCAGGAGTATTCAAAGCAGTCTTTGGCTGAGAGCCTTCTGGAGGCCATCTTTGTGTGTACGTTTATTATTTTACTGGACAGTAAATTAACCAGTGATTAAAATCTAGTCCGGTCATTCCTAAGATTCTCCAGTAAGCATTTAGATCTCTTCTACTTAGTGCAAGATGTGATAGGAGGGTTTAATTTTCAACCAAGTAACTCTTTTAAAGTTCTCAAACATAAGAACTATATATATATATATTTTTTTTTAAGAACTATATTTTAAACTATGTTTTAGTGTCAGTATGAGATTCTCTGTTTAAGGAAATAACTGAGATTGGATTAATCTGGGTGGTAAAGTAATTGGATTTGGCTTTCAGGATATGTTAATGGTATAAGACCAAATTATGCCCAAATTATGCCCAGTGCAAAAGCATGTATGTACCCGAAGACCTTAAATGTTAAATCTGCTTTTCTCCTCCTGTACTTCTTAGTCTGTAAAAGTCTGTTTACAAAATAATTTATTTTAAGCGTGTTCTTGGTTGGTTGTGTTGTTGAGACTTGGGCAGAATTTTTGAGGTGAAATGATTGGTCAGTTGCATACATTTTAAAAGAGGTTCACAACTACTTATATAACCGCCTTCCTTCAAAAGTAAGAATATTGAGTTTTCCAACTTTGTTCAACTCTGTGATTAAAGCATCAGCCTGTTGCCGATCTGACTTCTGGGCTTTCCTTGTGTCCTCAATCAAAACAAATCAAAGCTCTTTCCTTCCAGGATTGTCAGGATTTTTGTCTTTTTTTTTTTTTTTTTTAAACTGCCTCATCTGGTTCCTTCCCTTTGGCTCTTGAGTTTTGTATCAAGTTCAGCTTTTCTTATTTGCTGTCTGGTTTGCTAGGTGTACATTTACATGCCTGCTTCATCTTACTTTGCACTATCCATGCTTGCTTCGAACTTGTTTCTTGTACCCCTTTCAACTTTTTGTCCCTCTATACTTCCAATTCTGGACCTGCCTCCATTTGGTTCTCGAAAAATAAAATTCCCTGAGTCATTGTTTTTGGAAACAAACTTCTCTGGTTAAGAGCTTGATTTTAACAGCTCTCTTCGGTAGGGGAGCTTTGTAGAAACCTAGTTGCTTGTAGATCCGTAACAGTGGACGGTTATCCTCCTTTCTGTGGTCACATGGGATGGGCTTAGTTTACTCAATGATTTGATTTCTCTTAAAATACTTCCAGCTCTTTTAGAATCACTTAAGGTCTACATACAACTTTACGAGGTCATCTTAGAGATTATGCATCCTTTAAGGTTGGCTTCATCTAAGTCTTTAAGACTAAGAGATGGGAAAGCGCTGTATTAGCCTCTTAAATGCTATTTACCTTTGAAATGGGATTCGTGCTTGTTTTGTTTATGATGAAATGAGAAATCAGAACACATTGATTCCCATTGTAACTTGGGCATTCTAGTAGTGAGACACTGGAGAAATTACTTCATTCACGAGTAGCTTTTTCTTTCAGACGCGTTTATTATTTATTTATTTATTTATTTTGGTTGCACCGGGTCTTAGTTGTGGCAGGCGGGCTCCTTAGCTGTGGCATGCGAACTGTTAGTTGAGGCATGCACGTGGGATCTAGTTCCCTGATCAGGGATCAAACCCGGGCCTCCTGCATTGGAAGGCGGAGTCTTATTAACCACTGTGCCACCAGGAAAGTCCCATGAGTAGCTTTTTTTATATTTGTAAAATTAGAAAGTTGTGATGGAGTTTAATATTTAAAGAGTACTCCTGTGGGTAACTTCTTTCATTTTTCTTTTTAACTTTTTAGCAATAAGAACTGGTCATCTAAGGAATAGGCCTTGTTATAAAGTTCTGTTTGTGCTGCCCTCTTGCCATCTTTTTTAATAATGCAAATTCATGCAGCTTGGGAGCCTCTGTGATGTCTGGATTATTGTCTTTCTGGGACACAGGTCTTCATTCACTGGTTTGCTTATCCTTTCAGCATCTACTTTAGATGTCGCAGACAGAATTAAAATCCAGGTCAGGAAAAGTAAGAGGAATGAAGATATATTGGTGATTTTCCTGCTAGCACAGCAGCTCAACTAAAAATAAATTGCAGTGGCTTAAGTTTCCAAGTATTGATATTGTTTTCAACTGTGTAAAGCCACTAAAGGGGCAGGCATCATTTTATTGAAAATCTGGGTTCAGTATGTCCAGGGGGCGGGCAGTATCTACAGGGAGAATAGGAGACCAGTCTGAGATTTTAAGACAGGGTCTTTTGGAAGTGGTTATAAGTTACAGAAAACTGTTGGGAACTGGAAGCAGATTGAAAACGTTCCTGGGAAATGAATAAAGCTTCTTGTTTCCACAGTGCTGTTTGGCTTTGTTGAGCAATCAATCAGAATTAATTTTCCCTTATTTCTAAAATGTTTGCTACTCCTTTTAGTGTGTTTCCAGTTCTTGGTGCTGAACCTGTCAGTAGGAGTACACCTCCGAAATGACATGGTACATGCAAGGTGGGCACCGCCTGAGTGATTTGTTGCGGTGTATAGTCATCTGGTGAATGATGTGAACGCTCCTGTTTAGAACTCCTGAGAATTCCTTCTTTTCTCAAAGCTTAGTGGTTAAGAACCACAGACTCTGGAACAACAATTCCAGCTCTTGAATACTGTGGTAGAGTTACTCAGTGTCTGTTTGGTCAGTTGCAATGAGGGGACAGTAGTACTGCTCTCAAGGTATTCGTGTACCTTTTTTCTCAGGGGAAGCTGGGTATAGTACCAATAAGCATTTAATAATTCACCTGTTTAAGAAATTTTTTTTTTTTTTGCGGTACGCGGGCCTCTCACTGTTGTGGCCTCTCCTGTTGCGGAGCACAGGCTCCAGACGCCCAGGCTCAGCGGCCGTGGCTCATGGGCCCAGCCGCTCCGTGGCATGTGGGATCCTCCCGGACTAAGGCATGAACCCGTGTCCCCTGCATTGGCAGGCGGACCCTCAACCACTGCGCCACCAGGGAAGCCCAGTTCACTTATTGTTAGCATTACTAAATAAACTAGCTTGATTAGATTAAGCTTTTTTAAGGAAATAGCATTATTAAAGTGGTAATTCGGTTAACAATAAGTAGTTTTTGTTTTTATCTATTGAGTTTTTTTTTTAAAGAACAAGGCAGAAACTCTAGGTTTATGTGATGTGTTTACTGAATTGAGAACACTATGATTAGGTGTCAGGTATGACATTTTAGACATGAATGAAGTTCAGTTTGATTACTGATAGACTTAAAGAGCCCTGTACTTAATGATATTCATTTTGGTGAACTTGTAAAACCGTGGTTTTCTTTAGGAGAGAATGCAGCTTGGCTCTACTGATCATCGTGTATCTTCTTCTTCTTTTTTCCTAACAGAAAGCGTGGATACCCATCAGCGAAGTTTTGATATTGGAATTCAGATTGGCTATCAGCGACGCAATAAGGATGTGTTGGCTTGGGTTAAAAAGCGCAGAAGAACTATTCGTAGAGAAGATTTGATCAGCTTCCTGTGTGGAAAAGTTCCTCCACCGCGAAACTCTAGAGCTCCCCCAAGACTGACTGTAGTGTCCCCTAACCGAGCTACTTCAACGGAAACTAGCTCATCTGTAGAGACTGATTTGCAACCCTTCCGGGAAGCCATAGCTCTGCATGGTAAAGCCGTTTAAACATATTTCTTTGGAAAAATGGTTAAGAGTGTGCCTGTGGACCCAATTTCACATTTAGGTTTAGGTCCAGATATATTGTCTGTTTTTTGTCTATTCTAGTTACTACTTGCTCTAGAAATGTTTAAATAGAATGTAAGCTAAGAACTTATATGGGCAATTTTTGAATGTTAGCCAGCCTATCCTAAAAAAATGTTTCTAGAAAGTTAGTTTGAGCTGATTGGTGATACAATAACAGCATTTTTTGCAACACTGATTAGAATTTATTGCTTTATACACTTATATTGTACATGTTTCCTTAACTCTTCTGAGTCAAAGAGGAAGTTCTTGTGTCTTAAGAATACTATTGCATTTATAATTACCTGGAGAGCCTAGCCAGTTACGGGCAAGTAAGGCAGATAACTGTTGGGCTAGTTCTCATGGGAACTCCCTTTGACACCTTAGGTTATTGAGTGTGCTTGTAGAACCTGAGCGTTGATGACCCAAGAGGGAGTGGACAGATGTAAGAATAATTAAATTGACTTTCCTTATGTCTGTTGTCCCTTAGGGCCTTGCTTTGATAGGACTGTTAGAGAACAGGTCCATCACCATCTCCCCAGGCCAGACCTGTCATAAAAAGACATTCTTGGCTGAGGGGTTTAAGTATTATTGGAGAAGCCTGGGGTATGTAGTCAGTAAGTTTGTTGTTGCTTGTTCTCTAATACAGGCTTCCAGATAGAACTGGGAGAGGTACTTATAGGACATTCAATACTGCTGTAAAAATAAAACAACAAGATAATAAGACTAGGTTGAAGCCAAGATGAAAACATGGATTGTACAAGTGACTAAACAGATAGAAGTAATTAGTGAGTTAGGTCATGAGTCCTGTTAAAAGTTAACATATTTCTGAGCCATAGTGTAGGTCATCTAAAATAAAATAACCTGGTGATAAAAACTGGGATGTATACAAAGGGCTTCTATATCATCGAAGCTTTAATGCTTACAGAGATTCTTGTTCTCTTTGGCAAACGTTGATTCTTTATCTAAAACCCCATTCAGAACATGGGAGTTGGAAAAAGTGTTGTTTTTTTTCCCCTCCTGATTGTGAGTTTGTTTACGATAAGTTAAGAACACAAAAACATTTTATTGCAAGAAAGTCCATGATGTATGGATGCAGTACGTAAGACTGCTTGCTGTTTCTAATATAGTGGAATAGTTGATGCTGTCAGAAAGTTTGAAACTCAGGCAAAATAGAAATTGATCTGTTCCTACTGAATTAGTTTCACATCTTTTACCATTATTTGAAAAAAATTACTCTAAGTGTACATAGTTTGTCAGATTAATTTTAGTGCATGGTAGTATTTGATGTAGTTGTGTTTTCCTTAAGCATTTTGATTTCCTTTGTCATCAAGTGGATTTATGATTCATTCCATATTTCTCTTGTTGAAGTGTCTTTTTTTCTGTATTATACTCTACTATAGAAGGTAGTTTTAAGAAACATAAATGCCACTCTTGTTATAAAATCTTAATGCAGTTGTACACATTGTAAAGAGGGCAAGCTAGCAGCCCTCCCCCCTGCAACTACTACTATATTCTCCACATCCCATTACATTTTCTTAAATTGAGTTTATTCAACTTGTGATTTATTATTTTACTGAACTTTGGGAGTTTTAGTGGTGATGTAGATTTAGGAAGGTACTATTTATAATTTTGACTTATGTTTAAATTGTGAGGGTTTAAAAAAGTTTAATTATAAAACTATAGAAAAATAACCTTTCCCTTCAATAAACTTACGAAGTAGTGCCAATCCAGAATACAATGGATTCCTAGGGTTTATAAACTGAATTCATGTAGTTAAAAAAACGTGAAGTTGCTATGCAGTAATAGGGCCCCTTGAAAAGAGTACACAGAAACATTACATACTGAGTTTTGTGTTATATTGGTTTTAGAGGACATAGCTGTGCTGGGAATGCTAGTCTGACTTGAGTATTTTTAGTAATTTGAATGATTTCTAATAGGGCATTGTTAACTAAATTGTAAAGCAGATTAATGACTAACTTTGTAACCAGGTGTCCTCATGATCTGATTTATTGAATAGCTGTAAATTGAAGTCAAAACTGTTTAGATCTTTTAAAATATATTTGGAAATTCATCTTAATTAGGGTACATACTGGTCAGAATTTGGTTTTGCATAGAATTTGCTTAGCCAGATCTATGAAATGTGAGGTCAAATTGAAGTTCTTGGGGTTCTACGTTGGAGGGAGAGTCTAAATTCATGAAGTTTTGGGGTGCCAGGGGGAGACAGGAAAAGAATTGGTATACTGAGGCTGACTTAAATTTATAATCAAAGCAAACATTAGTGTAGGAGTCATATTGATTTATTCTTATCCATAAGCAACCTCATGTCCTTAAAAGAGAGGACAGGGCTTCCTTGGTGGCGCAGTGGTTGAGAGTCCGCCTGCCGATGCAGGGGACACGGGTTCGTGCCCCGGTCCGGGAGGATCCCACATGCCGCAGAGCGGCTGGGCCCGTGAGCCATGGCCGCTGAGCCTGTGCGTCGGGAGCCTGTGCTCCACAACGGGAGAGGCCCGCGTACAGCAAAAAACAAAAAAAGAGAGGACAGTTACCCCTGTAATTTTTTCTTTTTTTCTTTATCGGCTCACTTGCAACAGATGCCACCCATATGTGCTATATGTTCTTTATATGAAGACAGATGGCCAAGATATAAGATAATTGTAGAGTTTTTCATGTAGGCAGTGAGGGTTTGATGATAAGATCCTTTGATCAGTACCCTCATGAGCCTTAGATTTAAGTATTGCAATTAAAAGTACATCAATTAATGATTATCAAACAGTTTCGATCAAAACTGTCAACTAATGGTTATGGAGGTTTAAGGAATATAATCCAGTGCTTTATTTTGGCACTTGTTTGCAACATACGTTTATTTTCTGTGTAAGATGATATCTCCTTATCTGGTTGCTAAACTCAACAGAGAAGTCAAAGAAGTGCATATGCATGTGCTAAATTGATTTCTGCCCTTTCCTTATTCATCCTTGTCTTAAAATAACATCAAAAATTTACTGAGAACTGGATTAATAGCTGGCACCTTGTTTTTATGTAAACAAATTTCAGATAGACCAAAAATCATCTGGACCATTTTGTGGTTCCCTGCCTGCCTTTCTGATTATTCCTCTCTTAGTCATCCTTTCTCTTCTAGAGACTTTTATTGTCTTCTCTTTAGGCTACTTTGACCTCTGACCTTTCAGTGACTTAGGTTACATTCCCCAGGATTTAGCCCTTAGCCACCTTCTCCTGCAATCCCTTAAAGGGCCATTTCAGTCTTAATTTCCAAAATTGGTCCTTATAGTTTAGACCCTCTCTCCTGACTGCTAAAGACATATGCCTCATTGTCCCCTGGTGGACATCTCCATCAGGGTGTCCTGCAGGCGTTCAGAGCGGGCTCATCTAGCCTCAGCAACAGCAAAAACAGGTCTTTTCTTCACCTTGCCACTCAGCAGATGCATATGTGGCAGATTCTGTGCAGTTTCTAGAGAATATATGGTTGAATAGGGTGCTTCCTTTTCTGTTGAGGCCAATGTATACTTGGATAATTTATTTTGATGTCATATGTAAGGTGTTCTGGGGTCAGAAAAGGACATTTCACAGTGCGGCCTGGCCATGGGTTCAGAGAAGGCTATTCTGGAGGAGGTGAGTTCTGGGTGCTTGGAATAATCTCCTTCCTGCTCTTGCTTCCCAGTCCTGAGTTGACCCATTCACCAGTCCCTCTTTCCTGGGAGCACTGGAGTGATCTTTTTGATCTTGTTGCTTCACTGAAAAATAACCTTTGTATCGCTGTGTCCTCTAGGGTGAAGTCTGAACTGAGCACAACATTGTAAGACCCTTGTGGTTTGATCTGACCTTGGGTCAGATATCTTAGCTATACTGTGTAATCTTTTGAATACCTTCATGCTCTTTTGTAAGCTTTTCCTTCTGCCTGTTCATCCCTTCAGACTGATAGAACATCTGTGACAAAGCTTTCCTTCAGTTCTCCCCATTTTCTCCAACCTTCCCTGAGCTGGGTGTCTGCTCTCCCCTTTTGCTTTGCTTCCATAGCTATCCCTTCCCATAGACTGGGGCTACAGTGGTGCAGGGACTATGTCTTGGAGCTTCTGGCTTTAACAGAACCTGGCATAGATGTGTTCTGAGCTTAACACAGGGATTCAGACGTCTGCTAAGTCAACACAGTGGGGTCAGAGAACCTTTCCAAAGAGTTGAGGCTTATAGATCCCCAGGTGACTGCAGTATGAGGAGGGTGAGGAGAATGGAGAACAGAGCCGGGTGTATCTTAGTGCTGCAAAGTCAGCTCTTCACACTGAACAACTGAGTCTTGGAGTGGGGCCTGAGGGTGATGTACCTTTAGAGCGGTTCTTTCAGTGTTTCCGTCCACGTCAGCACCTGCTGAGGAGGGTCTCATTTAAAACTAATACTTCCCCTGGATTATTGCCATTTTATTGATGAAGAAGGCTTATTTGGCTAAAATAGACCAGGTCAGTAAATGGTAGAACAGATATTCCAGATTTGTCTGGCTCCCCAGTTCAGTACCTCTACATGTGTACATTTGGGGTCCCCCCCCCCCCCCCCCCCC